GGAAATAGCCGTTCCCTAACGGGTACTTTACGCGGATTCGCGTTAGTGTGCCAGGCCTGGACTTTAAGCGTGCACCGAATTAAATAATGACAAAGTTTGTCAATAACAAAATCAAATATTTAATTAAACTTCTATATACAGTATTTAGTAAAAATCAAACAATAATTTATTCAATGAAATTCAACAAGAATCAATCCGACAACTCAAATCAATCTATTTCTAACTTAATTCTATTCCCCTTTGGAATTCGACAAAATCAAAGAATTAACTTATAAACAATAATTCTTATAAATTAAAGATCCTAATCGTCACCTCAATATACTAGGAACCTATTTCCTCANTAATGTGATTGGCGATTTCCTCCCAGGAGTCCCAGTTAGTGTTGGGTTTCTGGTAGAGATTATTATAAAACCTGTAGAACTCATCTAGTATTTTAGCCTCGTCTTCTGTTTGAGCTCCGTCAATTATTAGGCTGTTGATTGTTGCTGACTGCTTTGGCTTTGGTTTTTTCTTAAAGGTGATCCTCTCTGTAAATCTGTCGATCCCTAATCTGCTCATCTTGTGTAGTATATATTTTTCTTGGATTTTATTGTCGATCTCATCACTAATCTCTTTCTCTATTTTGGTTGCTTCTTCTTTGTTGTTTGAGGTAATATTTCTGCTTAGAGTTCTTTGTAGCAATTTGATTTTGTTGAAGTTGCTTCTTTTGATCCTCAACCATGTCTTTTTCGTTGTATTGATGATTTTGTTTTTCGTTTCTATCCATCTCTTCCAGTTGATACCATTTTTGAGGTTGTCTAGGATGCTTTTGATTTCTAGTTGGTAGTTGGCGTCAGATAGAATGACGTTGTTTATTTTAATCTTGGTCTTCTTGTCTCTGATGGTGCTGATGTTGATATTTAGACTGATGAGCTTGTGGTCGGAGACTCTTTTACCATGATTGTATATGTAGTTTATGGCAATATCTTCTGCGTTACCTGCGTCTTTACTTATGTAAATTCTGTCTAATCGCTCTTGGATTCCTTTGCCCTCCCACGTGAAACCTTCTGCATGGGGGTAAATTGCTCTATAGGTGTCTTTGAGCTCGTAGCTCCCAATTAAATCATTTAGAATGGCCCGTGAGCCGTCAGGGTAGAGACTGGTGTTTTTGTCTTTTTGACTGAGTACACAGTTGAAGTCTCCCCCGATGATAACAGCCCTTCCACCAATGAGATAGTTTGGGAGGTTTTTAAAAAGATCTTTGCGTTCAGTGAGCTGGGGTGGGGCGTAAATGTTGATTATCCTCATAAGCTTCTTTTTAATATTTATATCTACAGAGAGGATCCTACCGTTGGTATCCGTTCTGAAGTCGTTTACTTTGATGTTGTTTTTAATCATGGTTATGACACCCGTGCCACGCCTCGGTGCAAAAGATATATAAATATTATACTGTGTAAATATCTTCCGTAGTTTCCTAAGGTCGTAAAAATCATACATATTTGTGTCCTGTACCATTAGTATATCATTATTATCGATTAGAGTCATATTGAGCAAATAGATCTGTTTGGCTTCTTCTCTTAAACCGGATATGTTAATAGATTTGATATTAATTTTGTTTGGTCTGAATGTTACTATTGGAGTGAGCGTTTATTCGTTTACTTTTTCTTGTCTTTCTTTTATCAGCTACGGTTATCACATTTTCGACCTGTTCGATTAATTCATCCTTAGTTAGACTCGCATCTAGGCTTATAGAGAGTATTTTCTCTCTTACTAAGGTTATGTTTTTTTGCTCTTCAATTCTATCCTCTAAGCTTTCATTTCTGTTGTTCGGTTTATTTTCTATTTTGTCTGTTTGATTTTCTGTGTCCATCTCGGTCTGTTTTTTTATCGATTCCATTGGTTCAACTTCTGTTTCCCTTTTTTCCTGATCTCCTTCCGATTCATGTTCATGTTCTCTTTTGTCCTCCCTATCTTTTTCCTTTTGGTTTTCCCTTTGCTCATTTATCTGGGCTTTCTGTCTTTCTAGACTTTTTTCTCTTTTTCTTTCCTTCGTCTTGTTTCTCCCTCCCGTTTTATAGATTTCAAGCAGGGTTTGTTTTGGACACTCTTCCTCCCTATTGTGTGTCTGTTTGCAGTTGTAACACTTGGGACAGTCTCTCACCATGTGGTGAGGACTTTTGCACCGATGACAGAGTTTTACGGTGCATTCCCTAATTTCATGATTGAGGCTGCTGCACCTCCAGCACTGTTTCTTCCTACCTACATATTGTAATTCGACCCTATTTCCCAACATTTCTACGTAATTTGGTAGCAATTTCCTTGTCTTAATGAGGACTCTATAGGTGCCCGTTTTAAACTTTCTCCCGCTCACCGTAACCGTATGTACTAGAACTTTGTTGACCTTCCCGTATTCCGATAATATACTTCTAACAAGATCTTTATCAGCCTCGTTAGGAACATATTTGACGGTGACCATTAAAAGGTCTTCATCTAAGCTCTCGCAAATAACATTTAAATCTCCTACCTTTAGAGTGTGTCCAATCAATTTCTCTTTGGCCTCCACCGTAGTTAACCCCACTTCCACTGTGTTGTTGGGTTTAATGCAAACCTGTTCCACGTTTCCTAGGCTGCCGGTGATTTCTTCGCACGCTGTTATCACTTCAGCCAGTTGACATCGTCCTTTACATGCAAACCTTATTGAGCGGACAGTTGTATAGTTTTTCAGTTTTTCCTCTGTCAGTCCGAGGTCCTGATTCCTGTCCTTTTCCGATGTCATGAGGTGTTCCTCCACCTGTTGATCCATTTGGTCGTCAGCTGGACTTGGCGACTCGTTCACACCCCTCGGATCAGCATCTTCGAATCCTTCCTCAGAAGAGATGGCCAGGTGAACCACTAAAGGGGTCGAGGTCACCTGTGCATAGCTGGCCGATGTGCATGCGCTATCCATGTCGGCGGAAAACACACACTAATGCTCAAAATAGTGATGAAAATCACTTAGCAGTGGTATCCAACTGAATAGAAACACACACGATAGCACACAAGCACGTAGATAATTCACTTGAAGTAAAGGGGGCACAGCACTAGGTAAAAAAACGCGTTTATTCCGACTATCGGTGAAAAAATCCACAAAACGTCCAATAGATGGCAGGCGAAAGAAAGCGCCAAAAATCGCAGTCCCGGCTGGCTAAGATCGAAAGGGAGCGGAAGGCAGAGGAAGACAAAGTGGAAGTTTAAAAGACCTTTTGGGGAAAATCCCAAAGAGAGGCAAAAAAAAGGGGGGGATGAAGTATTAGTCGGGGGAGTCGCAGAAGTCTGCTCGCCCCTCGATAGTAAAAAGCTTTGTCAATCGATCCGCGAATACACGATGTGTTTCAATCGTGCAGGCAGATCTCTTGACGGAAGTTAGAAGTCAATAAGAAAGCAAAATAGGCTCAAAACGAAAAAATGAAAAAATACTTACCAATATGGGTCCGATACTACACATTTGATCTTAGCCAAAAAGGCCGAGAAGCGAAATTATCGGTTTGGTGTTCGTATCGGTTTGGTGTTCGGTCCAAACCTGATAATTTTTGAAGGAAGCACACTTCATCGATACTTCTCACATAATGAAGTCTATATATTTTTGCAACATACTTCTCACGTGTCGTTATATTCTTGTATCTTTCTCTTTCGGTGTTCTTACAGACGTTATTAGAATTTTTAATGTAAGTATTAGTGTGTAATTTTGAATGCTAATGTAATGTACACGGGTAATACAAATCCTTTAGTTTACAAAAAATCGTACTTCAACAATAGCGCAGATTTAAACTGGGGCCATCTACGTAGCATAAATAGCAAATATTTACGGAACGATGCCGTACCCGTAGTTCAGATTTTTACCACGAGATGTCGCTGCTTCATGAGGCCATGAAGCTCGACAAGCGTAGCTGTATTTACTGTATGTCGTGACGCTACTAAACCACGTGTCGAAACGCAATCGGTGTAAATACACTACAGTCAGAATTAATTTATTACAAACAATATTTGCAACTGTTCGTTATTNGTTTATCTGGCAGATTATTTTCCGACAATACTTCGCTAACCTTTTACATTATTCTTTTTAACAATTATCGGGATGCTTTATTATTTTAAGGTTTAGCGATTCCTAACTGGGTTGTGGGGTCTTCCCCCCCCCCTTTTCTCGGTGCGGACTTACTTTTTTTGCTTGGGAAGCGCGAGTTTTTCTACGGCGCTTTTCTTTCGTCGGTGAGTTGGTTTTTCTTCTATTTTTAAGTTACTAAGGTGAATGGTGAGGAAACCTTCGTCTTAAATAAACATAAGCCCCAAACAAAATATAATGAAAGCAAAATAAAAGTAAAATAAAAATAAAGCTCAGACTTGGTTCCTTACAACTCTACGGATGCAATGTCTTACTACGTTGCGTAGAGTGCCTAGAGCAATGGTGATGACCGTCGGGTCTCTGGAGTCAAAGAGGTGGGCAGCGTGCGTAAGTTGACAGATGTCCGCAAGACTGCTACAGGGCGTGATGTTGGTGCCACCTCGGTCGTAGGGCAGCTGGATGAGCTCAGGACTTGCCCGCTGTGGCAGGTTGAGCCATCGTTTAGCGCACTTTTTTATGTGGCGGTCGAGGTCGTGAAGTCTCTTTTTTGGATTGGTGCCTAGAAGTAGATGAAAAGTCAATTTGGGCAGCAAGATGGTGTTCAGCGCGTCAAACTTTTGCCAGGGGGCAAGTTTGGCGCGGTCCAGCTTAGAAATGTCTTCAATCAGGTTGGAGATCACACTGTCGTTGGTGTGTTTGTTAGAAAAGCCGGTGGGGATGCCCAGGTAAGTGTAGGATTCGTCCCGTCGGAGGTTGGGAAGTTGTTGCCCGTCGAGCGTGTAGGTTCCATCGCTGGTGGTGTGCTTTTCACCTAGGACAGATAGAGTGGCACACTTACCTGGTTTGAAGTTGAGTCCTGCCCATTTGGCCCAATCTGTAAGCCAATCTAGTTGATGTTGCAGCCCGTCTGGTGTTGAGCTGATCAGTACTAGGTCATCTGCGTATGCTAGGATGTTGATCTCTTCGCCGTGGAGTTTATAGCCGTGATGTAATTCAGTGACGCTTCTGATCGCTGTTTCGACCACCACGTTGAACAGGAGGGGGCTGAGGGGACAGTTCTGACGAACTCCAGAATTGATGGGAATGCTCTCCGTCAAACCGTCGTGGGCGCGGATGCTGGTAGAGTTGTCTTTTAGCAGTTCACGAATGACGTTTACGCTGTCAGGGTGAAGTCCGCACCAGTGGAGACAGGCAAGGATAGTGTTGTGCGGAACAGAACCAAATGCGTTGGCCAGGTCGAGCCAAGCAATATGGCAGTTGCTCCGTGTCCTTCTTGCATCTTGGATGATAGTCTGTAAAAGAAAACTGTGATCGAGGCACCCCTCGTGGCGAAGGAAGCCTTTTTGAGCGCCAGAGAAGATGTTGTTGGTGGTACACCACGACAGGAATCTGCTGGCAAGGCACGCCGAGAAGGTTTTGCCGANAAAAAAAAGGGGGGATGAAGTATTAGTTGGGGGAGTCGCAGGAGTCTGCTCGCCCCTCGATAGTAAAAAGCTTTGTCAATCGATCCGCGAATACACGATGTGTTTCAATCGTGCAGGCAGATCTCTTGACGGAAGTTAGAAGTCAATAGAAAAGCAAAATAGGCTCAAAACGAAAAAATACTTACCAATATGGGTCCAGATATAAATGATTTTATTAAAATTCCTTAATATTTACAGGGAATGGGATATAAAGAGGTAGGAATAAATGAATAAATAGTAACCCGACAAGGGCACAAAGCCAGCCAAATATATACATAGTAAGTGGTTTACATGGGCGCATAGCCTGCTGGATAAGTACAGAGATGTGGAGAATTATGTACACAAATTAGGCATAAGCCTGACGTCCGATTAGACAGAGTCCAAACGTTGGTTGGCACGAACAGGGTAGTGTCTTTGCGGCCGATCGTTGTTGTCGTCAGTTCTGGATGTTTGGCTTGGATGATTGTGCTGAGATTGTCCATTCGAGGGCGGATGTCGACGTTGTGCGCTGTATGAGTGTCCACGGTTTAGATGTTGCATGTAGATCTCACGGCTCCATCTAATGGTGTCACTTACCATTAATTTAGCCATGAGTTTAGAGTAGTTTCTTCCAATTCCTAAACGTTGTAGCACTGCGATGTTGCCAGGGTCATAGGCACCAAGTGACCCAATGACGAAAGCATCGCAGAACGTGTCGTAGCCCTTTGTCCTGAAGTGTTGAGTAAGTGGTCGATATTTCTGGACTTTCTTCTCTCTTGCGTTGTTGAAAGCATCGTGACCGTTTTCGAAGGGAACCACCACATCCACAATCGTTGCTGTTTTGGTGGCTTCGTCAATGGCCACGATGTCTGGTCGGCAATTTCCCTCGTAGTCAGGAACACGTTGATTGGTGCGGATGATTAAGTCCTTGTCGTGGATGGCGCGTCGTAGTCTATCCAATATGGCGTTGTGTCTCTCCGTCGCAAGGTGTAGGTTTCGGTTGCAGTGATTTAGCACGTGGGCAAGGGTTTCCTTCGGGTAGCTGCAGCGACGACATTTGGTTGAGGACTGGCCAAACCGACGGAGGCCATTCAGGGGGGACTACGCTAAGTCGAGCCCTGTGTATGAACCTCCAGTCGGCGAAAGAGGTGTAGCGACCATCTCTAAGAAAGTGGTTGCTTGCTGGATGTTGGGCAGTGAGTTTAATAGCCTTGCCCTGATCTGGCTTGCTCAAGAGGCGGTTCAAGAGGTGGTTTTTGGCCATGGCAGTGATGACTTTGGAAGTGGCGTGTCGTGGAATCGGGTTGCCTGCTGCGGTGACTATGATGCTGTCGTCGGCTGTAACCCAGGAGATGTCCAGCGATTTCCGTAGTCGACGTGTGGCCATTCGCAGACGTGTCCATGTTGAGGTGATGTCTGAAGGCTCAGAACCAAACTCGCCCTTTGTTGACCCGTTTAGATAGGTGCATAGGTCCTCCAGCGAAGGTTCCCGACGAATACGCTTCTTGACGACACTACGGAGAAAATTAAGTGCAATGGAACTTACCCTATGGTCCCGGGAGGTGAATAGATGGACACCATGCGTGACTTGGCTAATGTCTGACAAGGTGCTGCAGGGAGTGATATTAGCTCCCCCATGATCTTATGGTAGGTGCACAACCTCTGCACTAGCGCGTTGGGGAAGGTTGAGCCACCTTTTGGCGCACCTTTTGATGTGACGGTCCAGGGTGTTCAGTCTCTTCTTGGGATTGGAGCCCAGAAGCAAGTGAAATGTGAGTCTTGGCAGCAACATGGTGTTGATTGCGTCTATTTTTTGCCAAGGGGCAAGTTTTGATTCGTCGAGTAGCTGAATGTCTTTTTCGAGGTTGTGGACGACGTCGTCGTTGGTGTGGTGCGTGGAAAAGCCGGTAGGTATACCTAGGTAGGAGTAAGTATCGCCAGCCTGCAGGAACGGGATGTCAGCTTCCTGGATGGTGAAAGAGTGGTCTCCCGTGTTGTGATGCTTACCTAACACAGAAAGGGTGGCACACTTACCGGGGTTAAAACGCAATCCTGCCCAGTTGGCCCATCTGGAGATGCAGTCTAATTGTTGTTGTAGACCCTCCACGGTTGGGCTGATTAGGACGAGATCATCAGCGTAGGCTAGGATGTCTATGTCTTTGCCTTCAAGCTTGTAACCCAGCTGTAGGTTTTGGATGCTCCGGATTGCGGTTTCCACGACGATGTTAAGAAGCAGGGGGCTTAGGGGGCACCCCTGCTTGACACCAGAGTAGATGGTGATGCTATCCGTGTACCCGTTTCGGGCACGGACTTTGGTCGAGCAGCCACTAAGAAGGTTGTTGATAATGTCGATGCTCTCCTCGTGAAGGTTGCACCATTGCAGGCATTGGATGACCGTGTTGTGCGGCACAGAGCCAAAGGCATTACTGAGATCGAGCCATGCAATGTGACAAGACTTACGCTTTCTCCTGGCGTCTAAAATGGTGGATTTCAGAAGAAAGTTATGGTCCAGGCAACCTTCGTGCTGAAGAAAGCCCTTTTGGGCATTGGAAAAT